TCGAATTAAACACATTTGTTGCTTTCCTTGAAATTAACAACTCTTAAAAATGGCGGTCGAAATGATAATATTAGGGGTTAATATATCATTCCGCTCTATTAGTGTATTAAACAGAGATAAATTGGAGATGGATGATTTAACTTTTCCATATTTTAAATAAGTTTGTTTAAAAGATTACTACAAGCCACCAATGACCATATTATTTGTTTAAGATGAAATAATATCATCGCCATTTAACGTTGATATCCGAGCGTTTTTCAGGTAAAGACTTCCGCCCATTGTTTTCTTTTTAGGTCACATGATTTCTATTACTTCAAGACGCCGCTTTTCAGTGAATGGCACTTACGTGTCACATTGAAGGTTCCATGATAACCGCCGTATGAACACATCTACTGATGTTTCGAGATTCCACAAGGAATTCCTTGAGTGAAATGCGATATTTCAGGTTATATGTTTAGCCTTTTATTTGAACATGAATATTTTACACATATTTTACACATATAAACAAAAGTAGATGCCTTAAAATATTGTTCTGTATGAGGCTATCAAATCTTAAATTTTGCATTCTTAGACAATTCACATGCTCTTTTTTACGTTAGCACATTCTTGAAAAAAAAAACGCTCACAATATTAAAATTTAGATCATTGATATATCTGTTTTGCTCATTTTTAAAGACTCTACAATCTCAAAAGAATGTGTTTCCTCGGTAGCAGTAATCACAACACAATTACATGAACATTTCAGAATAGTCCAGAATGTCACCTTAATACTTGATATTATGTTTTAACAATCTGTTTTACATTGCAAATCACCTTATGTAATGTCTTTAAACATATCTATAACAGAAGAAAAATATAGTTTTAATCATCAGTTGAAAGTAAGATAGTTGATTGTAAAAATGTTTAACTAAAATACATTCAATATCATGTTACAGGATTGGCAGAAAGAAATGTATTAAGTTTTAAATGTGCGATGTAAATATATAACATTTTAACTTATCTTGTAACAGGTTAAAGTGATTTCGTACTATTACAAAATGTAACTAAATATATCAGATGTTTGTGCTATTGTTAACTTCATTTTTCATATCTATCAACATTCCCACCATTATCTTTAGTAAATAGACCCATATAAAAAGATAAATTTATATTCCCCTTTGTTCGTATTTTTCAAGCAAAAACTGAAAATCGATTTTTAAACATAGATATCCTATCTCTTTGCCATTTTCAGAAAAAAAAGACATGGACTGGATCAATGCGGATCGTTCAAAGTCTATAATATAGAAGAATATTCCTTTATATCAGCAAATAGTTTCTTGCATATCAGACAGGATTATCTACCATTTACACTGGTGATAGACTTACCTGCCTTACACCCCTATGTTAGACAAGTCTCGTGCTTTACATGGCTTCATCATATGCGCCTTTTAAGAATAAATTGCGTTCTAGAGCGACGTGATGTTACCGTTCTGGTTGATTGATTGATTTTCTTTTGACAGGGCGGTCAAAGATAACCTACGAAAGTGCAAGCACTTATTTCCAGTAAGGTCCGTACCTCAGCAGACTCCAGAGACAGTTATGAGATACAAGAGAATACACAAGAATCCGGGTACCGGACCCTTGCCTTGTTGAATAGATCCTAGGGTTCTTTTACATGCCCAGTGTATAGGACTACTACATGCGAAGATTACCTGATTTTCTTAACAGTATACCTCTAGGTAGGTGGGAAACCCCGAAAGTGTATCTGAAAAACCCCAAGGGTATTACGCAGGATCGAACCTGGAACCCAAGGAGTGACAGTATGTGGTATTACAAACTGAGCCATTGCGACACCTATGAATTAAGTTGTAAATTCATACGCTACCATAAGAAAACAGTTCTAAATGAACATATTAGTTTTCGGAACTTTTTGCGAATTTTAATAAAGAATACTTTATGCAAGGAAAACAATCAAACACCGGCTGTCATAACAGACCAGAATATCTAGCTCTCTGTAGCTGTTTAACGGAAACTCGGTAGAACCTCGTTATCGCCGTAAACAGTTACCTTCGAGCTAGATATTACGGTCTGTACCGACAGGCGGTGTAAGATTCTTACACTCTCACTCTCTGCAGAGCATGCTATTTCTGTAATTTTGTTGTTGATAAAGTTGGTTTAGGTCATATGTTTTGTCCTTTTTATTCTGGAACACATTTACTTTATTTACATTGTATATTCGACAGCAATAATATATAGCAAAAACAAGCACATGTACTTATTTCCAAACTAACTGAGGACTTTTGGAATTATTTCATCATGAAAAATATTCTTGGTGAAGCCGAAAGACTGGCTATTAACCAGGTTTTGTGCCCTAGCCCTGCGGTTTAATCCTTTTGCTTCTTTTGTTTAATATTTGATTTTAATTCATCATCATGTTTACTATCCTAGGACTATTTTACTTAGAGTGACGGGATTTGAAGCCATGCAATTTTAACATCTATACACTACAATGAACGCACACATGTACATATCATATTAATGTACATATCATATTTATGTTTGGTTTAAAGTTACTTTACGATTATCATGGTTTGAATACGGTGATTCAATTCAGATGAATAGGAAAAACAATACTGCTCGGTGGATGTATTGTGTCATATAATATAATCTATTTGTTTCGTTTGTTTATTTTTGCCAACAACAAAAACGTACAAACCTAAAAAAGTAAATACGTCATTACAGATATTATATTTCGGGAGTATTGTATGAATATAATGATTTGAAATTGGGGTTTCCATTTAAGTGTTTATAAAGATTTAATACAATTAAACATTTGTTTTCTAATTTGAAATTCTCATATTAATATGTCTTTTTTACTACAAAGACGTCGTGCGATTTTATGTGATTTTTTCCCGGTCGAATGCCGGTCTAAAATCAGTTGACTTCCTGTAAACTTTGCAGGGAAGAACTGAATATAAAAAGAGTTGTTATTGGCCAATTTTAAATTACGAAATAAAATCTGGAATCTGTTTGGCTATTCTAAAATACAATGGATCATTCTTGCCATTCGAAGATAGTTCTTGACTAAAATGTCAAGGATAATTATAAAGAAAATGTACAGGAAAGCTCTTTAATTTTCTAGTTATATTGCTCATTTAGGTTCTGTTAAACCATGCTATACCCCACAAAATATCTAACACTGCATTTTTATCTCAATACATTTTAGCGAACCGTTTAATTTTCGTAAGAACTTACTGAGTTTATTTCACACAAGATCTAAGTTTTATACTTTGTACAAAATAACGAGAATAATATTAGAACTTAGCAGGTACCCTTAGTATATTATATCCAAGAAATGCCTAATGTATTGTATTATTACTGATGTGTTATTAATGATGTAATCGCATAATCAATTTGACGACTTATTAGCCATAAACATGTACAAAGTTGTTATCCGAATGTTTGTTTAAAGATAACGCAAGGACGGCTTTAGCATAAGTAAATAATAACGTGATCAATAACAAAACGTACAATGTATAGGGAATATGTTGACTCTTTCATCATATTCTTTTATTCAGTCGGTTATAAAATTATGAGACCAATTAAAGTATGTATAAGAAGTTAAAAAGTACACAAGTGCAGCAGAATTATGATAGAGTTTTTAAGTGATGAAGTACTGATTTTTGTAAAAAAAATAAAGTTGTAATTGTTTAAATATCCATTGTGTCGATTTATATCCCCCATCCCTTTTGGCCAAAATAAAACAAACTAAACCATTAAATGTTATTGTTAACTTGGCAAAATACAACAAACTAAATCCTTTATTAATAACTTGTATCATAGTTTGGAGACCTTTCTGTTGAACATGTGTCAGGGTTAAATCGTATACATATACATGCACAGTGCGTTAACTGGAGTGCGGGTATTAGTTACCCGCACTCCAGAGCATGCCCATTGATTGGCTCATTTTTGCTTGGGTTTACATATTGTGACGGCAGAGAAAGGGAAAGCGACAGAAATGTCATATTCAGATGTTCGATCATTGGTTCATTTTTGCCGGGGTTTCATATTGTGACAACAGGGAACGTGCTTTTATGTTTGACTATGATACAAAAGAGAAAGAACACCAAAACACTCGGCAATCTGATTTATACTCGGGGGCTACGCCCCCTCGTACAAATAAGATAGCCTCGTGTTTCGGTGCTCTTTCTATTACATATTCATATTTTGATAAATAATTTAATTATATAGGTTTATATTTTTAAGATGTTTTATCTCCTGGCATCCGACATAAATCGTAGCTATTCTTCATAAAATAGTTATGGACATATATGTTGCTTCAAGATATCTGTTGGACAATCTAAAAAGTGTCAGCTTAAAACAAGAAATGTCGAGCGACACATTTGCCCCCCCCCTTCTATCCCTTAACTCATACAATTGGAAGCCCGCAAAAATCGGTACATGGGAGTGTTTTGTTATAGAAAAAAAAGAAAATAATGACCTACTAGTTATAATCAATCCATATTGTGATATATAAATACATTGACCTTTGAACTAGTGACCTCATTATGACTTAACAATATGTGAAATGTGAAGACTTAGTGATAAAAAGTTTTCAATGTAAATAGCGGCAACCATTAAGACATTAAAGGTACCATTGAGTTTGACTTTGAAATTTGACCTAGTTACCCCAGAATCAACAGGGGTCATTACTAGTTATGACTAATCAAGATATGAAATATAAAGACTTTGTGGTAAACAGTTTACAAGATAATCAGCGGAAACCATGTTGTATATCAACGGACAGATAATTGACCGACCGACCGACAGACAGACAGACAGACAGACAGAAGACAGACAGACAGACCGACCGATATAAACAAAACAATATACCCCCTCTTCTTCTAAGGGGGGGGGGGGGGCATTAAATATAAACAAACAGTACTAATAGATATACGCCATAAGTTAATCAATACAGGAACATAAAAACAAACAAAACATTATTAGAATACACAACTTACGGTTACGTGTTTTCTTAAATCTGTTTACGGTGTTTTGAATAAAGTGGTATCGAAGTTATGCACAAGGTTAATCCTAGAATGTTTTCATTTCAAAGTTAATATATAAAATCACAGTAACAGATTTGATCACAGAAAATTTATATAACATTTTTTTTGTACAAATATACTGTCTCCTTCGCTTGAAATAGTTTAAATTATAAGATTTAGCATTATGATATTCTCGTTTCGGTTGAAGAAGCACTTTGACTGCAGCCAATGAAAATCCAACAACTCATTTCCTAATTCAATACAATATCAAATGATCTATTTTACGTCAGACGTTTTGTTTAGTTTGAATAATGCATGTGTAAGGGTAGCTATTTATTTAATCGATTTTGTTAAAATACTGGTATGTGAAAAGGAAACTTGATATAACGTGTTAAATTTGCTCTCCGACTTATGTATTTGTTGAACAATCTATAAATATATCAAATATACTTCATTAAAAAAATGTTGAAATGTTAATTTTGCATTTACTTTTACCCGCTCAGTTACAATCTTATCTTATCACGAGGCCTAAAATTGATTTGCAGTACATTATCAGTTTAAATAACAGTTTTCTTAAAGTTTCCTTAAAGGTCGTTCAGCACGACATTTTATTGTGCTGGTGTAATTTTAGTTCTTTCCATTTTGCTGTTTTCGTGTTGGGTAGTTACGGTATTCCTCACTTGAATATTGTTGAATGACCCTTAAGATATGTGACTACTTTTTGAATTTGTGTCATAACATATTATCGCGATATACAGGCTTCTAAATCTGTGATTCCCTTTCCAAAATTTAGTTTGTTTTATTTCAGCCCATTGTTTTCTCGTTATGGGCAAATACATTTCATTCTTGGGGACCATATTCCACTTTGAATGGAATGGCACTAACGTGTCATATTGAAAGTTTCATGATAACCACCATATGAAAACATCTGCGGATGTTTCAAAATTTCAAATTTAACTAGATCATTTTTAATGTTGAATACTGCTTAAGCCGGTGCTAGTGGCGTGGACGGTAACTTGCACATTTTATTACCGTCCATGAACAGGCTCAAACCGAGCCTGCAGCATTTTCAATTCTGTCGAGATTTTAAATTTCTTCGTCATTTTAGATTTTTTTTTCATTTTAAAAAAGTTTTGTTTACTTAATAAATTAATCAGTTGATTCATTCACAATAGGATCATAATGCTATTTTGTTAAACGAAAGTAGCAAAACGTTTGAGATATCAATTTTCTTCCTCATTTATTATACTATTTTTTTTCCATTTTAAGTTTTATTTATTTAAAATGTGGGCATTGTAATCAGTTTGGCAGTGTAAACAAATTGCTATTTTGTTAAACGGAAGTCACGTGATATCAAATTGTCGTAATTAAATCGTCTGCTTCATTATGTGCTTAAACGTGTGTTTATTAGTTTTATATGGACTTCATATTTGCAAGCTACAGTTAAAAACTATCATGGTGAAATACAGTACCCTCACAGTATAAGAAATAGATAAATAAATAAATAAAGATAAAACTTAAAAAGAAAACTTGAAAATGCTGCAGATTTGGTTTCATTAATAGTAGTTGTAAGTAAAGCTATCGTTCACTCCCACTAGCATCGGTTTTAGTAGAATTAAACAAAAAATAAACATAAACATGGTGAAATTTTGAAATTAGAGCTTCAAAAGATATTTAAATACCGTTGTGATAATCAGAACCTTCATTATAATAGAAACAATGGAAACTAAAAAGACTTTTTTGAATATCATAAGTTGTAAATATCTGACAAAAATCAACAACAACAATATTAAATCTACAACACAACTATATGAGTATCCAATTGAACATTTTCAGAAAGGGTGCACCAAGATGTGTGTGATTTTGTAAACGTTTGATTGAAATTCCATTCATTTGAATTGGGGGATGGTTTACTTGTTTTTATTTCTTGAAAATAGCATGGATTCTGTTTTGGACGGATTAAAAGTAACCAGCCAAGCCTTTGACCATTCATGAATTTTTGAAGGTCGTCATTAAAATGCTTGGCTGCGTCTATGGGATTCTCTACAATAATATAAAGGCTCGTGTCGTCTGCAAAAAGTCGTACGCTCGAATTTACTTCGTCAACGATGTCGTTTATATATATCAAGAAAAGCAGAGGTCCGAGGATCGAACCCTGGGGGACGCCGGCATTAATTTATGACCAGTTAGAAGAACAATTAGCGTATACAACGCGTTGATTGCGATCAGAGAGATAGGAAGTGAACCAGTTAAGAAGGGAGCCGTTTATTTCAGTGTTAGAGACATCGATGCCATACTCGGTCGAATGCTTTAGAGATATCGCAGAACACAGCGCGAACCTCCAAGCCTTCGTTAAGAGCCTTGCAAATATCGTTATATATGTATGTAATTTGATAAATGGTGGAGTCACCTTTGACGAAACCGGATTGATAAGACGTGAGGAGGTTGTTGGTAATTATATAATTGTACAAGTTTTTTGTGAATACACCTCTCCATGAATTTACCTATACAGCTTAAAAGAGAAATGGGTCTGTAGTTCGATGGCTTAGATGGATCATTCTTTTTAAATATAGCAGTGACATAGGCTATTTTCCTGGAGGTAGGAAAGGTACATTTTGAAAGTAATATGTTGAAAAAGTCAGCCAAAGGTTTAGACAGAACAGCTGATCCTTCTCTTAGTAATCGGGGATAAATAAGATCTGGGCCACAGGCTTTCGACGAATCGATTAACGAGATAGCATTTGGGGAAGAGATTCAGATTTGGGAGTTGTGTTTTGACTGTCAATGTTTGATTGTGTACAAAAGAAATTATTTAGTAGTTCTACCTTCTCTTTTTCAGTATTTGCAGGAATTCCGCTATCAAGGAGGACAGGGATAGCTGGTTTTGATTGTTTTTATGTGAAAGATTTTGTCAGTTTAAACAAGTCTTTCGTTGAAGCATTTGATGAGTTTATTTGTTCAATTAATATACAATGTATTTTCATATTCATTTTTATTGTTTCTTATTTGTTTGGTCACCGCATTTCTGATTGTTCTTAATTGTTGCCAAGCTAACTCTGTATTCATCTGTTTTGCTTTTTTGTTGGCCTTTTTGCGTTTTCCTATTAGTTTACGTATTTTGTTGGTCATCCATGGAATATCATGTGGTCTTATTGTTACTATTTTGTTAGGAATATTGTTGTCTGTGGCATTTAATATGGTACTAGTTATTCGGTTGACTGTTTCATCTACAGTCCAACCCCGTTTATTCGAAGTGCCTGGGACTGAATATTTACTTTGAATAATCGATGGGTTCGAATAATCGAGAGCCTAAAATTGTGATAGATGAAAACTACTCCACTTTGACGAATCGTAGTAAAACTACCGTTTAAAACACATTTACTTCCTGTAATCAATTGAGAAAAATAAATATTAAAGAAAAGATGCGTAAAAATTATTGTATTGAAATTGGAGACATAAATACTTGCATTTTTTTTCTACATTATGTATTGCTTCGTTTCGCGCAAAACCTTGATAATGGCCGTGTTGTCACTACGGTATTTACATCTAAACTCTGGTATTTTCGATTAGGAAAATGGCTTTTATGTAGCGTTTTGGATGTTTTGACAAATTTACATATACGGTATGTATGAAAAAAATTGCTGTCATCTTCAAACAATAACAGTAACAAAATCGGACACGGTGCATTGCTTTTCATTTTCGGTAATTAAAGTTGATTAAAGAATACAAATAGAGCTATTCTCACGATTGTCTGAATACATGCATGACTATTGATGTATTTCACAAATCGACCAGTCAGGGAGTGGATCTGCGCCAATTAGTCTGACTTCGATTAATACTTAGGCTGGCTTCGAATTATAGGTGTGAAATACATTCATAATTGTATAGTTGGGACCGAAATTTTACTTCGAAAAATAGGAGGTATTCGGATAATGCATTTCGAATCATACGGGCGTATTTATATTGATTTATATAGAGATAAAAACGGGACCGCCGATCTACTTCGGATAATGCCGGGTATTCGAATAAAGGGTTGTCGAATAATCGGGGTCGGAATGTACATCATTGTCAGTGTTTATTATGGATTGCCAGTCTGCTGAGTTAATTTCATTTCTGTAGCCAGAGTAATCATCCTGTTATAAAGCCATATTTTGCGTTTATATGTGATACCCTTTGGTTTCGAAAATTTCATTACTGATACAATTGGACAATGAAAACGAATAACATCTGGAATAAATGGGTCTGAAACAAAACTTGTTAAGATATGATTTGTGTTCTTTACGAACAATACATCGAGTAAGGAGCAAGAGATTTCTGTAAAGTGGGTTGGTGTAGTGATAAGTTGTTCTGCATTTTAGGAGGCTATAAGATTAAACAATTTGTTTGAATTAGAATTTAGAAGATTTATGCCAGCAATCAGGATATTGTCAGATCTCTCGGAAAATTCTTGATCTATACACTGTTCAAGAAGAAGCCAATGCTGATTGTTAGAGTCTGGGGGTCTATAAATACCACCTAGAAGAAGTTTACGACTGTTTGTATCAAGTTCCACCCATACACATTTGATACCACGTACAGATAAATCAGATCTTGTATGAAATCTTAAGCCCTCTCTGACATAGATCGCTACTCCACCACCGACTCTGTCTGTTCTGTCGCAACGAATCGGGCATTGGATGTGTGGTATTTCAATGGCATTGTTATGCACTTCAGGATGCTGCCAGGTTTCAGTAAAGATAAGAATATCATATTTATATAAAATTTTGCAGTATAAGTCCATTATAAAAACAAGAAATAACAAGTTAAACAACATGATAAAGACTAGTAAAACTTTATCATCCATAAATTAGTATTCAGTTCAAAATAATTTTATTTAGAATTGATCAAGTTTGAAGAAGAAAATTATTGCCTGGCACAATAATTTATGAGTTTTGGCGCCTATTGTACATGGCTTTACATGTAGATAAGATCGTTTGAACAATTGCAAAAATAATGGTTCAATATTAAAGCGGTACAGAAAAAAGAAAGCAATAGAACAAAACAAACAAAACACGAGACAAGATAAGATCATTTACAAAACGAACGGTTCAGTATTAAAGTGGTACAGAAAGAAACAACAACAAAAGAAAGCAATATATATGAGGCTATATATATATAAAAAAACAAAAAACAAAAAAACATGAAAAACAGTTAAAATGAAATTAGATAATTGTTATCAATTACATTATTATATGACATGTATGTAAAGACAAGTCAAT